AGCATTCAAGGATTCTGATTCTTCTGTCCCATGTCATTCATTTGTCTAACCTTTCCTTATAAAACATATGGCTTATGGTCTGTCTTAATTTAGGTTTATTGCTGTCAAGGGACATCATGACAAAGGCAACGCTTATAAAGGCAAACGTTTAATAGGGGCTAGCTTACAGTTTCCGATGTTTAGCCTATTATCTTCATAGTGGGCTGCATGGTAGTATGCAGGCAGACATGGTACTGGAGGAGCCAAGAGTTCTATGTCTTGATCTGAAGGCAGCCAGGAGACTCTGATTCCACACTGGGCAGAGCTTGAGTACTAGAAGATTTTAAAGCCCACACCTACAGTGACGCACCTGCTAATAATGTCACTCCCCATGGTCCAAGCTATCAAACAAATGAGTTTATGGGGGTCAAACCTATTCAAGCCACCACATGGCTGATATAGTGAACTACTGTGAACTTAACTAGAATACTTCAATTACAACTTCTGTGCCAGATTAGAGTGTTATTGCAGCAAATCAACCCAAGCTCTGTCACTTAGTTTGTGGCTATTAATTTGCCAAATCCGTTTTCCTGGCTCTTATCAGTTGAGAATATCAAGAGCAATGTATCTTTATATTTAAAAGGCTTATAGTAACCCTCACTGCTGTGCTGTCCAGGATCTGTTTATTTTTCTGCTACTTGTAAGAAGATATTTGTAGTAAACACAGCCATCTTCACAGTGCATATTAGTTGTCTTGTATATTTTTCTAATTGGAATCAATATAGAGACTATACCAAGTAGTCTCAAATGCCCAGATAAGATTTCTGTAGTTAGGTAAGCAGTACCTGATGATTACGGATTGCAGTATCAAGGAAACTCTTAGGAGGCCATGGTCTGTATCATGCATGGGTATATCCTACAGAGTGAAACCGATGGTACATCATGTAACTCTGCAACTACAGAGTGTGCCCATGATGAGTGTGGAATCAATAGGAAATGGTTAAGAAGCATAGGGTTTGGCAGCTGGCTCTGCTGAGTAAGCAAAGTGCTTGCTATGCAAGTGTAAAGACCTACATCCTATGTATCCCAAGGGTACATAGAAAGCTAACTACGGTGGTATGCACCTATTATCCCACTGCTAGAAAACAGAAACAGTAGGCTTACTGGGGCTAGCTAGCCAGCCAGTCTGGCTAATAGGTGAGCTCTAGGTTCAGTGAGAGACCCTGTGTCAAACAACAAAGTGGTGTGTATTAGAAGGCACGCTCTAGTGACAAATAGGCCCCATTTCCCAGATGATTTTTACCTTCTGTTAATAATTCCATAGGCTAGGGACCAAGCCTTTAATACACAAGCTTATAAGGACCATCCCAGATGGTTATGGTAGAACTCAAATACATCAAAGATAAGGGATTGTGTAAAGCCGTCAGATAGCTAACTTAAGGAGTGTAGTCAATGCAATTGTGACAAACTAAATATGTGACAAGAGAAAGACATCATCTATGGCTGTGGACTGGCTGCAGCAGTGAGAATGACAGCTCAGTTTGCTAATCTTAAAGGACGGGACTGACCACCGTACAGTGGAAGAACTGGCCATTGCCTCTTTTTTTGAGGTACTGAAGGTCTCTTGTTCTTATATAAGATCTGGTACAAGAAAATCAGCCTGAAGAAAAAAGTGCAGTTAACCAGACCAAGGTGTGATCACTCTACCTTTTAGCCCATCCCTCTCAAGGTCAAGTGTTTGCATGGCTTTCGGCTAGTCAGCTGTTCCCTCAGCTGTTGAGGCTAGACTACTGCAGCTGCAACCATCATTGCTATCATTGAGCTGCTCCCATTAGCAGCACCAGCTGAGGTCCAGTCCAGTGCACCAAAGGGGCTCCAGCTCTGCAGTGGATGCCTGGAGGGGCTGCAAAGCACCAGCTAGGATCACACAAGTTAATGCCTCATAGGATCTACTGAAAAGTGGATAGAAGGACATAGTGACATGAACTTGTCAACTTCTCGACTGCAAGCTGCTCTTAGGTGCAGCTTTTATGTGATGTCCTTGGCGACATCCTATACCCTCACAGCTGGCTGATCTTGTAAAGCTTTCGTTATCTCAGTAACTTACGTTCTTGTCTTTTCTTTTCCTTCCCTGCCTAGTCTGGTTTTCTCCCACATACTCACTTCCCTGGGAATGTTTTGTCAACTCATGGGTTGGCGAGATGGCTCACAGGGTAAAGCTGATTGTTGTACAAGTCAGGAAAGCTCAGTTGGATCCTCGAATCCCACATGAAGGTGGAAGGAGAGAATTAATTACACAAAGTTGCCTTCTAACATCTTTGAAGGCACAGTGGCATGCACACGTAAGAAAAAAAATTAAAAGGGTTCTGATGGATACATAAAAAATATAACTTTTTTCCCTATATCTTTAACTGCAGCATGTGCAGCTGCTAGTTGTATAGACAGGAAACAGCACCAATCCACCTTATCACCTCAGCCAGCTGGCAGCTCCATAAAGATGATCTTCACCCTCATTACAGGAGAGAGGCACCTGCCTAGAGTGGCTCTTAACCACATGTTGATTGAAGCCTCTTAAAAGGGCAATGTAGGAAGGGGAAGAAGGCTGATGTAAGAAAAGATGGAGTAGTCTGGCTCAGCTTCTTCCTGTCCCACTAGAACTTTAAGCTAATCACAAATGAGACTCACTTTGCTGAGCCTATGAATGGGCATAACATCATCTCCTCACAAGTCTATTGTGAATACAGAAGATGCTCCATAAAACATCCTGTGCTGCAGAGTTCTGGATGATGTCAGCTACTTGACAGCGAGCAACTAAGTAGTCACTAAATTAAAAGGAGACAGGAAGATGGGCTGGATAGGAACAGGAACAGTGACCAACATGTAGAAAGATCAATGGTCATAACCATATGAAACTACTTGGAGCAAGGTCTTATGAGAGTACAGTCAGCAGGTATCAGGCATGCTATTTTCTTTCACATTTTACTTAAGCTTTTCATTCACCAATTTATCAAAATTTACTAACTACACATACATGCTGGGTCTCAAGCTAGGAAAAGGGCACAAGGCATGGTCACTGCCTTATGGCTAATGGGGAAAACAGAAGTGCAAATTTATCAACATAATACAGTGGAATCTAAGGTTCTGGAGTACATTAGAGGCCTGATAATTTTAGAAGAATCAGTCAAAATTCTATGCAAAATTATAAAACTTTACTTTGTTCAGATAAAGGATTTTATGTGGGAAAGTTGCTTGAACAGATTCATGTTAAGCAACTTTGCTTCTGTCCTCTGTGGATGTCTTTACTGTTACACAAACAACTCTTCCAGCTACTTCACTGCTTAGACTTGGAACATCAGTGCAGCAGCTAAGGAAAAAGCCGTGAGGAAATGGAAACTCCACAGGGCTTGTCCCAAATCAGAGTTGCAGAGACTAGCAGCTCCCCCATATTCTGCATTGCAAAGCCTGCTAACATCTTGATTAAGACATCACTTGTATGATTTCCTTGGGACCGAGTCAGTCCCACGTCTGTCCTCTGAACAAGAGAAATCTTAATGAGCAGGATCTGAACATCAAATGCTTTTTATTAAAATCAAGCTTTATTGCCTCCTCTTGGTTAATACAGAACTCTCAAATGACTATCGTGAAACTGGTTTCTTTTCCTGTACTCTATCTGTTAGTAGAAGGCTATAGTAAGTATATGGCCAAAAACATGGACACCAAAAGAACTCCTGTATTACCTGTCTCCTGTCTACAAGCATTCACATTATGGCTGGATACATGATTTTTCTTTCCTATTTTAATTTTTAGAGTAAAGAGTGCTTAAATCATAAAACGCAGCTAAAGTCTCTTCACAGCAATGTAAGGCATGGTCACTATCTTATGGCTAATGGTGAAACAAAAGTGTGAATTTATCAACATAATACAGTGGAATCTAAGGTTCTGTAGTACATTAGAGGCTACATCTCTATGTTACATCAATGGTTTCTAAAATAAAAATGGTAACAGATGATCCACGGTCTCCAGAGCGAACATTAGCGGTTCAATGGTCCCAAGACAGAAAGTCTTCAAGCTCATTAAGAGCATTCAAATGAGTTTTGGTCCCTGTCACCTTGATATTCTTTTTCTAACAAATCTCTAGGTTTATGAAAGATGACTTCCAGCATTGGAGAAAAGCTAAGACTGGGGACGGAAAGAAGCAGGGACTGATGGCCCAACGGCTCCCCTCTTCATCACACACACACACACACACACACACACACAAACACACGCACACACATGTGAGTGAGCAACAAAGTATCTTGTGTACTTTCCCGGTGTTTGTTCTCCCCCCCACACCATCTATTACAATCTCTACCACCGGACTAGTTGCCAAGAATTATTTTTAAATTTGCAAATTCATACTAAATGCACAAAAATAATTCCATTTGATATCTGTTTAAGGATCTTACAAATATAAGGATCTTCAATATAAATCATTATATTTTTGATGGGACTGGACAGATGCTTCAGTGGTTAAGAGCGCTTGTTGCTCTTGCAGAGCACCCAGGTTCTACCCCCAGCACCCACATAGGGCAGCTCACAACTGTGTAATTCCAGTCCCAAAGGATCTGTGGCCCTCTTCTGACCTTCTCAAGTATGAGGCACGTACATACTATACATACATATTATATATATATATATATATATATATATATATATATATATATATATAT